AATATAACCCAAAATGTGACGTCCTCGCATGTGGTCGTCGGGTCTTAAGAGGTTAAAGTCACTGATAAACGTTCAGATGGACAAAAGTGATGGTTTAAACAGTTATGAAATGGAAAAACCACAATAGTTACAGCGTAATAAAGTCACTCCGTGGTCGATAAATAAAACCACAACAAGCTAACTTTTCTTATTTCTTTTTTTAAATTAACATTTTGCCTTCTTGCTTTAAAGTGACCTACATGTGACTCTGTGTTGTTGCTTCTTTTATCTGCAGATCTATGCAGTCCCACCCGCCCTCACTCGATGCACCCGAGCACACCTGCAACTCTGCGGGAACGCTGTGAAACTGCTCCATGCATTTTGGAGTAGTTCAGCCAAACAAAGAAACCGATTTTGATCGCTACAGGAAGCCCCACACCACCCATCTTGAGCCTCACATGATAACACTAATTAGAAAAAATTACACAAATTGTTAATATTGGTTTGATTTATGGTTGCACCCAGTTTTATATGTAAATTATATGATATAGAAATATAAAATCCTGCATCAGCTCAGGGGTGATAGAGAAATCATGTGGCGCTGTGTGGCAATTTAACCGAGACATGATTGTGGGACATGCAGCCAATCAGGGTCCTCTAATTTAACCCAAAAGGTGCTATTGGTTCTTTAGGTTTGTGATGTATGAAACCACACAAGTCTGAATTGTGTTTTTGGCACACTGCAGCTTCAAGGCTTAAATGCTCAGACATGGTGTTGGCTGCTTAGACGTGTCTTCCAGCATGTAAAAAAAAACACCATAGAGACATGTTAACAAGATAAAAACTGACATTTTCACCAGAAGGAATCTTTACAATGTTGGAAGCAATCGACCTAGGTAGCTGTAAGTAATGAATAAGCTGCTGCTATCATCCATATGGAGGCTATATCTAATTATTTTGCCATTCTGGGATCCAAACTGTTTATTTAAACGGAACTATCTTTGAGGGAAACCCTACATAAAGCTGATCCTATGTTTGTAATAAAAGGAGAATATTTCTCTGCAAAGTACAAACAAAGTACCATCAAATACGAGAACTTCAAAGTTGTTTCTTGGGATAATATTTGCAGCAGCGTGTGAATCTGACGAGTAAATCAGAGCCGACCCATAAACAGTGCAGCCTTCAGCAGGTCTGCTGACATGTGAATGTAGGCTCAGTGCCTTCCAGTATGTGATCAGGCGGCGTGGCGGACGGTCTACGTGCAGCTCGGGCTGTCGGCGGAGATGCCATGCCTCGTCTCCACTCTCCCATGTTACAGTCTCATTAAAAGCCAGGCAGCAGCCGGTCGGTTCACCTCCGTCTCTTTGTCAAGGAAACCGCACACGAAAGAGTTCAAAGAGTAAAAACTTTATCTGCCTGTTTCATTTGCGAAGTGTGCTAATAGGCAGAGGGGGGTGCTGGGGTATTTAGTATCACTGAGGGCAAATACGACCTCTGTTTACTCTAAAGTCACGTTTACGCGGGCGCCCTTTGGCAGCGATGGCCTATCAGCGCTCTACCTGCATGACACACACGCATCTGATGATGGTGCAGCTTCTGCAAATTAGTGCAAGAGGTCAGTTTTAAAAGGGAATGTGTGGAACTGTTTTCCTCTCACATGTCTTTGGTGAAAACTGTTGGTGCTTTGTCTTGTTTTTCTCCTTAAGTATGACTTTATTTATGATTAATAGTTATATTATATACAATATGAGGAGGAAAGTCAAAGTGGTTACCCTCTTTTGCAAGAACTGAGCTTTCACATTTGATGAAGGTGACAAGATATAGAAATTCCTATAGATCAACTCAAATCTAAATCACTTTAAACACCAGTTGCTGAGCCAAAATGAATCTAAATCAAGTTTATTAGCATGTTTTAAAACAACCCAATGCAGTGCTAGCCCACAAAGTAAAAAAAAAAGAAAGACAGAGAACAGTATAAAAACTTAAAAGCCATACGTTTAACTAAATAAAAAGAATATATTAGATTTTTTTTTAAAGAAAAATAAGACAAAGCAAGCTGATAACTTGTAGGATCCAGTTTTACAATGAAAGTATATGAAATACAAAAATATTACAACCCCAAAGATCATCCAAAAGCCATTAAAACATGTGCGTCTTGTCATATTAGAAAAAGGAAGGCTGCTTTGGTGTTGCTACAGCAGTTTTTCTCAGGATCTAAAAGGCCTCTGAAGTTCTGAAATGTACCAAACACATGCATGGTTTTATAGATAAATAAAAGAACTGGTCTCAGCAGGTAGCAGAGATGCTAGTACAGGTGTCAGGCCTCCCAGTTTTCTGGTACCAGCGAGGAGTTGCAGCAGAATTCTGCAGCAGCTTCAGAAGAGAGAGAGCGAGTTGCAATCATCTAGCCTTGAGGAAATGATTACAGTGCTGATCGTCTTCATGTCATTCAGTCAGAGGATGGATTAGAGCTTCCTCAGTTGACAGTAACACCCTGTTAGCACACAGTTCATCATCACGCTGGTCAAACTTCAGCGCTGAGTCAAAGGTGACGCCAGCATTTCTGGCGTGGGCACGGAGCTCAGATATCAAACTGGTTGGGTCAATAATTTGGAAAGTACTGTGGCTCAGCAATGGCTGTTTAAAATGTGCAATATGAATGACTTGACTGTTAGGATTTTATTGCTAGAATTATTTATTCATACTTTTGCATCACCATTCTTTCTGTATTAACTTCCTCTTATGCTGCAGTTTAATCCTCCTGCTTTTGCAAACTCTTGTTTTTAAAAGTACTGTATAAACAACATTTTTTTATTATTATCATCAAAAAGGTCAATATTAAACTAAAGTGGCACTGTGTCACTTCTATGTACACAAAGTCTACCTCATATATAAAAACTACTTCACTACCACTCTGCTATGGCAGTTGTTTTTAAAGCGAGTTTCATAGGTTTGTACAAAGTATTATAATATACATCCTGTATGTCTAATAGTGTATATTGCTGGTGCACCGAGGGAGCAGCTCTTTAAATGTCATTGTACTTGGATAAAGACTTTCTATTCTAGTTTAATGAACACAAACCCTATGTTATGAAGCATGCCATGAGTTTAAAATCATGTTTACAGTGTCTGAAGTTGTCATAAATTTTAAATCAACTTCTTCAGTGGGTCCAGGGCTCAAACATAACTTCAGTTTCATAAATATATGTGTTCACAATGTTTTGTTTAAACGTCCATGTCTCATTTTTAGAGCACCTGGACTTTCACAGCAGCAGCAGCAGCAGCAGCAGGCGGATTATTCCGCAGTGCAGCAGCGACACCCTGCGGACCGACGAGAAACAACCCCAGACTAGACTGCAGTGAGCATGCGCGGCCGGCGGGCGTCGCAACTGCGCCGCCGCACAGGCAGCAGAAGTCAACCGAGCGATTTCTGCTCCAGCTGATTCGGTCGCCATCTTTGTCGCGAACATAAACAACACCAGGGAGTCGCAGGTCTGGCGTTTGGATGAACCGCCGCCGCTCGCCGGAAAACCACGACGGTCTCCCCGCCGCAGCGCCGCTCGCTTCCCCCGGAGATGACGGTTGACCCGGTGACCTGAGCCGCCGTGTCACAGTCGGTAAGACGGCGTCGGCGCCGACTCGTCAGCTGATGTTGTTGCTTGCGGACGGGTTGTTGTGATGCCATGACAACGGTGCGGCTGTCAATAGCGCACCGCGGGGCCGTTTTTTAGCCATTTTACCCCCAAACGTATCCGCCGCTATGCTAGCGGCTAGCCGCTAACGCAGGGCTGTGTGTTTTAAAGCGCGTCGGTTTAAAGCAGAACAACCTGAACGTCGCCTGGCTGAGGAGGCCGTTTGGTGTGTGTGTGTGTGTGTGTGAGTGTGTGTGAGTGTAGAGCTGTGTGTATGTTCGGAGCTCGCTCACTGGTTCCTGTCGGGTTTTTCCACAGAGATGGGGCTCCTCTGCGGGTTTCCTCACCGGCAGGGAGCGGAGGTTTAAAGGGGCTCGGGGAGGGCAGCAGAGGGGCCTTGCTGCTCGTCAGAGATGGACCAAGAGTACGAGAGACGGCTGCTGAGGCAAATCAACCACCAGAACCTGCCCACGGAGAGCCGCCTGACCAAGGTGAGCCCCGCAGACCGAGTGGGAGTCCCGCTGCAGGAAACACGCAGCGTCAGACACTACTGGTTCTGGTGATTTCTATGTGAAGCAGTTCTGCATCATTTTAAAATGTCTGCATTTATGCAAAGCAAAAACTCAAAATTCAGGTGTGATGAGTGAATGTTGTAGCAGCTTTCTGAGGGGGACAAATGCACGTGTTGTAAATATTGCATCCCCCCCAGAAACCTATGTCTACAGAGGAACTAAAGTCATCTCAGTGTAAACAAAAGCACGTGTAGAGGCTGTCAAACTGTCAGCATGCTCAGTCTGTTTACAGCTTCATTCAAATAAAACGTTATCACAGTTGTGTTTGACTTTGGACAACTCCAAAAGCAAAAATGGTTGCCTGTTTTGGTCCAGGCTAGAGTGACCAAAAGTTTTCATGTCCTGTCCTGGAGGAGGCACACTTTAAATGTATTGAAATTATAAGGCATCTTTGAGCAAACTTCGAGTATCATTTGAGCATCCCATTGCCGGGCTGACTGTCCTCGTCTTGTCTAAATAAGCTCACCCTAGTCCAGGCTAGAGTATGGCACGTTAACTGGTAACACCGCAGCGATGTTAAATAGTTTTATGCGACTATACAGGTCGGTAAAATGAAGGGAAGTCTAACGGCTAACTGTGAAGCTTTATTCAAGGCAGCACCATCACTGCCACAAAACGCTCTTCATATAAAACTAGGTGTTTCCTCCGGCTCCAGCGGCTGCCCGCCCTGTTCTACTTCTTCTCTTCTGGGCGATGGAAACTTAAAGATTTGCTGTTTACTGCCTCAACGTCAAGGCACGATGATGACAAGTTTAAGACTAGAACAACATGACAGGGTTAGAGGTTTGTTTTTACTGCAGCGAGGGACTGAGTTACTCAGATGTACAGAAATACCCAGATGACCCCCCTCCTGTCTTCCGTGGCGGCAGAGAAGGATGCCTGACATGTGTGAACGGGTGTTTATTTTTGAGTGTGCCGTGAAACAGGCTGACATCAGTGAAAAATATTGTCCTGTGGCACCTCTTTTTCTTTCAAAACAGTAATATTAATGCATCATTTTTGTCTTCTCCAGTGCTTAAGTGCGACCTGCAGCCCTGTCAGTGTTAAGTCGGGGGACCGCTTCATTCCCACCCGAGCTGGAAGCAACTGGAGCATCAACTTCCACTACGCCAACGTGAGCGGTTTATTTATCGACGTATCCGCTGTGCCGTTCACTCGACACTTACAGCTCAGTGATCAAGGCCCCTGCTGACATTTCCTTTCTTTACAGGAGAACTGTCGCTCTCCCAGTCAGAACCATAAAGCGAAGGACGCCAGCTCAGACTCAAGCAAAGGTCAGAAATCCTTTTTTTTTTTTTTTTCTTCTATGTGTTATTATAACTGTCATTTCAAGTCCTGATCTGTGTCATCACTGATTTCGCCGTCTTCCTCCTCCAGATGCTGTGGCGTACGCGGCCCTGCTGAGGAACGAGTTGCTCGGGGCCGGGATAGAAACTGTGCCGGACCCCCACACAGACGACCGGCGGCATGCAGTCCTCTCTCAAGACTCTCACAGCCTTTTTAGGGTACGAAAAAAAGCCCTTTTAATAAAGTTGGAAATCACTAAAGCTGTCTGAATGAAACATGTAACTGTGGAGACTCTTATAGATTGTGGTGGATAATTTAACACACATCTAAAGGCCTGATTAAAAATCTTATGTTTAGTAGAACGGTAAGACTGAGCTGTTCTAGTACATTATAGATCATTATAGTTGTTGATGAGTCATGGCGACCGAATTAACAATCTGCCTGTTTTTGCTTTTAATTCACTGAATAATTAAAAAGGACGAACCTGCATGATCCTGGCGACCTACAGTTTCTAACTACGACTCTTTCTCATGTGTTTATTCTCTGCAGTACACTGTCCACACTAAGAGAGTGCCTTTCGATAGCGATAATGAAGTCTCACCGTACTCCCTTTCTCCGCTTAGTAACAAGAGGTATGAAACTTGTTGCACGCTCAACAGAATCAGCTCTCAAAACCTCGCCTTACTCTACTAATTTTTTCTTTTTTTTTCTCTGTAGTCACAAGCTGCTCCGCTCCCCTCGCAAACCAGCGCGAAAGATCTCCAAGATCCCCTTCAAAGTGCTGGACGCTCCGGAGCTGCAGGACGACTTCTACCTCAACCTGGTAGACTGGTCAGCGGGCAACCTGCTCAGCGTGGGCCTGGGAGCCTGCGTCTACCTGTGGAGTGCCTGCACCAGCCAGGTCAGGGGGAGGGTTTTCTCATAGTTTATGATGTCATTTCTCCTCAATTACAGCCTTGAAAATGAAGAATGTAGCGCATCTGAGCTGTTATTCACTGTCTTTTTTTGGAAGACAAGTGTGAGTGGAAGTGCTTATTTATGTCCGCTGTGTCTATCCTAACAGGTGACAAGGTTATGTGACCTTTCAGTGGATGGAGACTCTGTTACATCAGTTTGTTGGAATGAAAGGGTGAGGCTGCCAGACCTGCTTGTTTATGACTCGGCCACAAGACAGAGAGTCCAGAGAGGAGAACGTGGAGGAAAGTAACTATTTTGGTGCTTTCAGGGGAGTCTGGTCGCCGTTGGAACACACAAGGGTTACGTCCAGATCTGGGACGCAGCAGGAGGGAGGAAGCTGACCAGTCTGGAGGGCCACTCAGCCCGAGTAGGTCAGTCATAACTGGAGCAAAGTGGATGATTTGAAGTTTAAACTATATTTGTGAGGACATTTGCTATTGTAGGTGGTTACACAAGAAAACGCAACTCCCAGCGCTCCACCTGAAGCTCAGCTGTTGCTGTCTTTACCTTCAGTTTAACATCAGTGCATTCATTTATAGCTGCATCACTCACATCATAGTTGGCCTTCAAACGCGCCGCCCGCTCAGAGTAGTGGCAACGCTATACCGTCATGTATGACACACCAGATGGGTTTTGATAGCAGTAGTGAAATAAGAGAACTCCCCTCCTACCCTTTGTGCCCAAGGTGCCCTGGCGTGGAATGGGGAGCAGCTGTCGTCTGGAAGCCGGGACAGAGTGATCCTGCAGCGGGATGTCAGAACGCCACCCTCTGCTGAGAGGAGGCTGCAAGGTCACAGGCAGGAAGTGTGTGGTCTCAAATGGTCTCCTGACCACCAGCACCTCGCGTCTGGAGGCAACGACAACAAGGTGAGGCAACATCTGACCCATATACATCCAGGACTCCAGACTAACTGTTCCTCTGGTAGCACTGGTACCACAAATGTATTTTTGTACAGCATAGACACAGCTATGGATAGCGATGGCAATGGGGGCGCTGTTCTGTGAAGAAGGCGACTCCTGAAATGGCTCACATGTGTGTGGATTTTGGCACAGTGCTTCATTGAGCTGTTTTAAAGATGAATTTCTGTTTTTACTCAAGACAGAAAATAAAGAATCTATCTATCTATCAAACCACCTTGCATGTTGATGATTAGCTATCTTTGAATTTTGTATTGATGTAAAGATTGTCAGTGTTTTAAGAATCAATTTTTGTAAAATATTTTCATCTCAAAACACATTATTGAAGTTGTTGTTGTTGATATTGCTCCTATAACATTTTCAAAGGCTGAGCATCTGCTTATTGACAGACACTAGAATTCCCCAGCGGTCCCTAAATGCCTCACATTCAGGCTTTGGTAGCTGCTAGCCAGGCGGCTGCAGCTGAGACAGCTGCTGTATGATCAAAAACTAGAGTGAAATGCGGCGTTCTGATGCCAGCTCAAGTTGAAACTGAGTGGTTTTATCTACATGGGCTGTTTTCTATGAGCAAACTTTTGTTCAAACAAATCACATTTTAAATGTCAATTACGCAGTCGATCGTGTTCATTAAATTGTAGGAAGCCAACATTGTGATTGCTGTTGATGTTTGATTTATTGCGTGGTTGAATGTAGTGGGCTGCTTTTTCTTTTTGACTGACTCAGTTGAGATTTGTCTGCCTTCACCTTTACTCTATCATCAAGTGTTGGACCTCTCTTTCTCCACCAGCATCCTTCTCTCCTCATATTGTTAAAATGTTCAGCTGCAGATTGTTTGATCATTGTAACACGGTGAACTGAGCTGTTTCACTTGTCGGGCAGAGAGAAACCGACTGAAGCAGTGAGGAAGGAAAAGTACCATTATTCCCTGAAAATTTTAGGGTAGCATCATGTGACTGGTGTAAACAGTCCGTGACAGTAAGAGGTCATTCCAGCTTTATCAATCTGGCAGACCGGCTGTTGGTACACCAAACATATCCTTACCGTCCACTTCTTGTCTCTTCTCGCCCAGTTGTTGGTGTGGAACAGCTCCAGCCTCCTCCCCGTGCAGCAGTACAGTGACCACCTGGCGGCGGTGAAGGCCATCGCCTGGTCTCCCCACCAACACGGGCTGCTGGCGTCGGGCGGCGGCACCGCCGACCGCTGCCTGCGTTTCTGGAACACGCTGACGGGTCAGGCGCTGCAGAGCACAGACACCGGCTCCCAAGTCTGCAACCTGGCCTGGTCCAAACACGCCAACGAACTGGTGAGGAGGCTCTGCACACCAATGAATTCACAAGACACACGAGACATTATGTCGTCATACTCAATTCAATTTTCAATTCAATTCAATTTTATTTGTATAGCGCATATTTACAACAACACTCATCTCATAGCGCTTCACAAAGGCAGAGACAGAAACACCCAACAATCCAAAACATTTGGATTCCCTATAAGCTTCAGCAGTCCGCGAGCAGTCCGCAACTCGTGTCAGTTCATAACCCAAGAGGGCTGCATGGTAGGAATGTCACAGGGAATACAAATTAGATAGATGATCTGAATAAGTTGTGGAGAACCTTTGTACATTAATGAAGGAACGCTAGTTTCCAGCATACCTCTTATATGTGACTAGCAGTGAGTAGCGTGGTTAGCCTTGTAAAGACGTCACAAAGCTGTGATGTTTTAATTGCTTTAAAAATAAACTGTCCCTCTGAAATTAATGTATTTTGCAGAAAAAATAAAATCAGTAGGAGTTTTCTAAATTGATCTATCAATTAGTCAACATTTCAGATGACTTTTGTTGCTATTTCAGTGAAACATTGCTGAGGTTATTTCCCTGGCCTGCTGATTGATTCTAACTTTTCCTGCTTTACTTAATGTTGGTTTTGTATTAAATTAAATACTATTTCTATTATTCCACACTGTTTCTACAAGGCAACACACTGAGTTTAACACAGTTTAACACAATAATGACATTTAGATTCATGTTTGATGTTTTTCACTCTTCGTTTCCAGGTGAGCACCCACGGTTACTCTCAGAACCAGATCCTGGTGTGGAAGTACCCGTCACTCACGCAGGTGGCCAAGTTGACAGGACACTCCTACAGAGTCTTATATCTGGTACGACCGCTGGTCTAAATGAACGCATGTTCTGTGTCACCAGATAACCAACGTATGCCAACTTTTAGTTGCATGTTAAGTGTTTTATATATTTTCCAGTTGGGGAAAAAGTATTTAGCTGCTTTACTTAAAGTATAAGCAGCAATAGGTAGTAATAGGGGTAGTACCCGAATAAAAGTACACAAGCCTAGTGTAATCTTACAATGAAAGAGGTTAGTTCAAATATAAAAGACGATCACATACATGGCAAATATATATGATGACCTCATGTAAAGCAAAGAGAATGCCAGTAAACAGTAAACGGAAGGCTGTTCCAAAGCAGAGGAGCTGAAACTGAAACCACATGATGTGCAATTATATGTACTATTGATTTTATTACTAATGCAATGAAGGAAGGGCGGCATTTAAATGTTTGTTGTGTCCGGTTGAAGTGAACTGGAACAACAATATGGTTTGTGAGGAACGATAAAGTAATATTACAATAATAAAGAAAGAATGAAGCCCCTGTATGCCGCCCGTAGTCCAGTCACACAGATGTTGATGATCCTCCATGATGCCGGATGATTTTTAGATGTTCCAGAAGGAGAGAGGATGTTAGTAAACTTAAGTTAACTGAATGTGAAGCACCCGTAGTACCTGCAGCTGACAGTAGGGGAAGACTTAACTTTCTCTCACCAATGACTGCATCAGTATTGTCTGTAATACAGAACTTTTCTCAGCATGTTGTTTGTCCATTCTATCGTATACCCATACCAAGCCTTCCTCTCCTTCATCAGCTGTTCTCTCCTGCTCCTCTCTGTCAGGCGGTGTCACCAGATGGAGAGGCCATCGTCACGGGAGCTGGGGACGAGACACTACGTTTCTGGAACGTCTTCAGTAAGACACGCTGCACAAAGGTACCGTTGATTCCTCATTTATGGTGCTACGTGTCCATATATACAGGTCTGATGTGTTTGTGTTGCTTCAAAGTGCCGTCTTGTAAAAAAAATCGATTAAAAAGCTTGTTTCACAATTATTTCTGGACCAAATCATAAACTTAAGTGCCTAAAGTTCACCTGACCTGGTCTTCAAAACCCAAAATCTCTTCAAATTTGACCCAGTTTAATTTCTTTTTCTCTCCCCAGGAGTCAAAGTCAGTGCTGAACCTCTTCACAAGAATACGATAGTAAACAGCCTGAGACAGGACTGCTTTTTGAGAAGAGCCTCCCGGGCTGCAGTTGAAATGCACAGTGTCACGAACACAACGACAACAACGACAGCAGCAGCACTCACGGACTAGCCTGTAGACCCCCTCTCCTCTCGGCATCAACTGTCAGCGCACCAACCTCCACTGCGACACTTTTTTTCTACGAAGGATGCAGCCCGAACTTCCAACGACAACTGCCATCCCTCAAAGTGATGTCACTGAGTTTCAAAAAGAAAAAAAAGAAACTAAACTAAACAAGAGGTCTGAGGGTTGTACTATGAAGCAGGATCAAGGTGTTAGCAAGGTATGAGGAGCCTGAAGAGTTGTCACGAAGGGTGCTCTCGTTTAACCTGCTACATCGCCATGGTAACTGATGCTGCAACCTGCTCCAGAGGAGATAGCGTTGACAGATTGGGATCGGCTCTAAGAAGCGTCACCCTTTCTCCAGTTCTTTTCCTGACGGTGTGATGTAGATTCTCAGCTGAGGATTACTTTACATGACAAACCTCTTGAGCTGGTGATCTCACAACATTTGATTTACAGCCCATGCTGCAGCTAATAGAGTGCAGACTGGAAAAAATAATCATTTTAATGGCATTTATCGCTCAAAATATTCAATCAATACCTTTAAGTTACTGAGATTTGGTGAAAAACTGAAGCGTATCCTTCATTATGGGACAGTTTCAGACCGACACGCACTTCGTGAGCGTTATGTCTCCAGTGTAGAAATAAGCAGCTGCATTGAGGATGTGATTGGTAAAATATATATATATATGCTGACATACACAGTTATCAGTTTTCTGCCATCTTACATCATTTGCAATCAGTGTGTTTTTTCCTATAATGCATTTTATAGTCATCATAACACCCTGCTCCTCTTGAATGAAGCAGGTTTCGCACTATCGGTTCTTTTTGTGGAAGAAGATTCATGTGTCACATCAAAGTCTGAAAAAGAAAAACGTTGATAACTATCTCAGACTGGAGTTCTAGGTTTTGTTGAGCCAGCTAACACTAAGAAAGCCTGGATTTGTTGATCTTGCTTCGTAGTACACCCCTCCGTTGTCTTGACAGATTTTGTCTGCTTCAAAAAAAAAAAAAAAAAAAGTCGGTCTTGTTCTCTTTTCTGTTGTGGAAGTGATTTTATTATATATTAGCAGAAATATACATGTACAAGAGTTCTAAGCTATATAACGTAACGACGGGACATTTTTAAAAAGGCTCTCCTTTGTAACAGAGAGAAGATGAAGCCTGGCTGGCGTACGGGGGGGTTTCTATATTTTGATAATGTGTGAATATGATCTACAGCAGTATGCAACGGAAGAGAAACAATAAATAAATGAACAAACACACACACACAGGTGCTCGTGCAGCTGCAACAAAACTTCCGTTTATTGTTGTTTTGTCAGTCACAAAGATTGTGCAGAGGTTTAGAACCAAGTGCGTTCATGCCTGGAGAAACGGCACGGCAGCCTTCATTACAAACATGTTGTTCACCTAACAACAGTCCACTTAATGTGTCTCTCTGAGTTAGTTCAATCCAGCTATAATGGTTTTCCAGTGAGCAGTCCTATTTGGCACCAGGTATTGCTGAGACATTCAGATTGTTTGGGGTTCTTGCATGGGAGACTTTATTTCGACTTGCTGAGGAAGAAAACTTCAGATTCAATACCAGCGGCTCCGACTAGTAATCTGAGTATCCGGAGCCCTGCAGGCCTCGGCACAGCAAAGAGAACTCCTTCACGATCTCCTTAATGCGACGCTTGTTGGTTTGTTCCCTGAAACAGACGTGAAAGGATTCGTGAGACATTGCATAAAAAATGTTTGTAGTCTGAAGTATATGCAACAACTAAATCCCGTGATTTAAAGGTTCTGTATGAAACCTTTCAAAACTACTGGATGTAGGTAAAGCACCAGCATCTCAGACCAACACAAACATCTGCCACATCTCCCAGAAAGGTTGTGCGCTGTCGAGCTCTGAAAGGAACGTGAAGAAAGAAAAAAAAAACAGCGAGAGGGACTTTCTCAGGATCTCAAAATAACTTCTGTGAGATCTCACAAATCTACCTCCAGTCCAGTAGGTGGCGATAATGCACCTGTACATTGGATGCCAACCGCCAAATCAATAGACGAAGAAGAAAACTAAAAGTTTGTATACTTTTGGGTCTTTTAGGCAGTATGGAAAAACAATATTGGAGGACACCCACCCGAATGAGTTTTATTGAGTTTTATTTTGAAATCATCTTTCAAGTTTTGCGAGATTTCGCCAAAGATACCTCTGTGTATTTTTTTCCTCGCCCTGTTTTTTTTTTCTTTCTCTACATCTCTTCCGGGTCTCCGTAGTGTACACAAAGAGCCAACACAAAAAAATAAACCAGCTGCTACTGTTAGCCCATGCTAACATTTTATAACTAAACAGAATGACCAAAGCAAGTTGTGAAGCTCTCTGATTGTGTCTTCTCCGCTCCGTGTGTGTCTGTTTCCACAGTTCGTTGGACCAGAGTAAACCCACATGTGGAAACAGACATACAAAGACCGGATCAGAACAGACATGAGCAGAGAAGAGCTTCAAAACAGCAGGAAACACTCTGCGCTGAAATAAAACATGAATTAGGTTAAAAAAAAAATAGATGCAATATTTTAAATTTGGGGGGGGGGGGCGTTTAGGGCACTGGCTAAATGCTGGACTGCACCTTTCTAGTACGGTGCAGGAAGTCATTCTTGGGCCTGTTTACACAAAGCAGAAACGGTGGTATTTCAATGGTTTACACATAAACGAAGCTACATGTCACCGAAAACGATCATATCTGAAAACTCCAGCCAAAGTGGAGATTTGGAAAAACTCCGTCTTTACGTTTGCATGTAGAAGGGAGGAGACGGAGTCATCAGCGTCATATGTGTGCGACCATGTTTACAGTTTGGCTGCTGTGATCGAAATGGATGCTGGTAAAGTCGTGCTTGTTTTTATGTTTGCGCAAATGCTTTTGGCCTGTTTGCATTTACATTCAAGTGCTTTACTTGTTTCGTACTCTGAGTAGCTCCACATCTCTGTCAGTCCAAACAAACAACCCTCGGCGCCATTATCGTTAACAGGAAGTAACTCGTGCCATTCGTTGTTGTGTTTTTTCCAGGGTTCAGGCTTCATGCTTTTCGTCACACTGCCCCCTATAGGTCTGGCAGCTCATAGCAGCTCTTAAAGACGTGTTTATGCGGGTGAAGATTTTTTTTTTTAAACGATCTGGTGTGAACGATGTTATTTTTGAAAACGTAGGCTGGGTATTTTTGTGAATACCCGGCTGTGTGTAAACGTGACCTCAGGGAGGACCAGTAGTTTCAATGGGAGGGACTCACGTGCACTAACATGCACACACAGCTAGAAAGGCTGCCAGAGAAGCTCAGATTACAACACAGACACAGGGAGTGTGACTTTATTCTCCGCTGAGGATTTTTGTGAAGGATGCCACTGCTATATTTATGCTCAAAATATGCATCTTGCACCTTCAAAGTGTTTCACTCCATGTAAATAATCTCCTATATGAGCCAGCTCTTCATGAATATGACATATTTTATTTCCCATGCTGTTCAAGTGTCAGCGTGAGGGTGTTTGATACGGAACACCATCTGTTATTACTGCTCACTGCAACATGCACGCTTTTTATTTTATGTAAATTAAATTTTACAGTGCCCCTTTTTTTTAAAAAAAAAACCTCCCACTTGGCAGCAGCAGACACAAGCTGTCACCATAATTGACATTTTATAGAGTAGCAGTGGTGCTGAGTTCTTGTTTGCTCTCCATAAACTCCTCCGTGGAACGTGGTTGTTGAGCTTCTCAGTGAACTAACTCAGTCTCTGCTACTTGATGATGTGAAGGTAGCACACTTCATAACAGCTGTCGTGACCAGAAAACCAAAATAATGAGCCAGAAGATGTTCTTGTAGATTTATCGTAGCAACTGGATCCTAACGAACCCCACTGTGGCAGGGGGAGCACTAACGACTCGCATAACGAGGGGGAGGAGCAACAAACCCCCAATTGAACCCAAACTCAGGTGTTAATGGCTCCTTAAGGATATAAGTATCTGGAACTCCCAACTAGTCAGTCAGAGCTGATGAAGCCTCTTGGATGAGAGGTCTTTAAGAAAGTCAAGCAAGTCCAGTTGCTACGATTAATCTACGAGAATAACCACGACCTGGATGACTGAGAATCATGAGCCAGAAGATGGTCAAACAAAGGTGAGTCCTCCTACATGCACATGACCGAATGAGCGATTGTTAATATAAAAATGTGTGATGGAGCTGCTGTACGGTGTGCACATGTCTTGATGTTACCTCAGGAGCTGCTGAGTGAAAGTGTGTTTCTGCTCGGTGGAGACGTGGGCCGAGGGGAACCCTGGAGTCTGCAGAGCTTCTTTGAGCCACTGGGACAGCAGGGCCGAGCAATGTCTGTTCAGACTCAGCAGCACCTCGGAGAAATGTTCTGTCAGACTGCGAGGAGACCCACCGCCGACCGCCTGGGACAGGAATCAAACATACAACACTCTGCCATCAGAAGACGACGTGGTGGCAGCTTTAAATGAGATTAAATAGTATAAAGGCCTCCACTGATGGATTTAGATCTTGTGTCTACAGACTGCTTCACCTGCAGAATGGTCTCCGTCAGCATCTTCCCGTCCCTCTGCAGCACGTCGCCGAGCGGAGGCACGTCCTTACAGCGGCTCAGAAACTCTGTCTGCCGGCAACACAAAACGATCCGTGAGACGACGAACTGACGAGAATTTGGGTGGAAAATTTTGCACGCTTGTGCCTCGACTTACAAAGAACAGGCTGGCAGCTTTCACTGTGGGTGTCTCTGGAAACTTGACAGACAGGATCCCTGGAGAAAGAAAAAAAAAAAAAACAGGATAAAAAAGAATCTGAAATGACTGCTTCAGCTAATGACTCACGCAAACGGATGCAGAATTTCAGCACTTCTGATAGAAAAGTTGGCTGCAGATTGGATTTTTTTTAGCTTTATGAAACCTGGCAGGGATCTGTATTATTCTCTGACTGATGCTGTTTAAGGTTTTACTCCATCAGTCCAACATTTTTATAATAATGAGACTCACCACAGTAGAACAGCGCTTTCACATCTAACTGGTCAGACAGGTACAAGTCAGGCTTCCTTTTGAGAATCTACGCCAGCAAGACACAAATCCAGCAGTTAGGCGACGATTTAGTCTGACGCAGACGTGCATTAACATGAATATTTAACCAACCTGAGCATGAAGGTGCATAAATGATTCTGCAATATCAGGATGATCCCTTGGACCTGCCACATAAATAAATCCAGACAAGTCAGACATCTCATCTTAAAGCTGATCATCAGACTTCGCAGGTGTTTTTTTTTACCTTGTTGAAATATGTTAAGTGTGGTGGATGTCAACACTTCAATAAGGCTTCTGATGTTCGAGATGCGATGTTCCTCTCCAGCAAAGATGTGAACCATCTTAAAAAAAAGAGACAAGACGAGGAGACTGATCTGTTAAAAAGTTTTCATTAAAATCAGAGGGATGATTGTTTATTTCTCTTCCATGTGGAGGTGTACCTGACGTGCCAGGTCCAGAGCTGAGGCTTGTGGGAAGGCGCTATAGATCTGCCCCAGCATCTCGCTCAGCTGAGCCACCATGGGCCCGAAATCATGTAGGAGGGTTCGAACGGATTTATCGAAAACCCCACACACTGCCTGCGGGAGGAGAAGGAACCGGGGGGGAGCTGTGAGCGAGTACCGTGAGTCATTAAACACACATAGATCATACATGCACAGACACACACATGCATACGTATTTATGCAGGACGTAGAAACCCTCTTACCTCGACCACGTCTGAGTCGTGGAGCCATTTACCGAGGATGGTCTGGATCAAAGTGAACACCTGCTGCAGCACGACTACAACCTGCAGGTTTGAAATGGAAAAAAGAGGAAATGCAGAATTTATTCAAAAACAATTATGATTTCTGCATCCATGCATCATAAACTGGCTTCATGAATATTTTAAGGATTTGTTGTGGTTCTTCTCTGAACTTACGGGGTTTTGCGTGCTCTGAGAGGGCGGGAGTCTGGGGCCGGCTGCCCCCTCTAAGCCGTCTGCCTGTCTGTTGATGTCCAGAGTGGTGAAGAGACTGGACAGCATCCCCAGGATGTGGATGATGCTCTGTTTATTGGTGGGACTGGGCTGCACGGGGGAGACAAAGGACACATGCACAATGGAGGCTTTGTGAGAGGATTTTACCAAATTCTGCAAAAACATTTCTGCCCTGCTCTAAAAAAAAAGGAGCATCCTAGTCCTGATCCTGAACCCTGATCTCCTGACTGACTGC